GTGTGTGTGTGTGTGTGTGTGTGTGTGTGTGTGTGTGTGTGTGCTTTCCTCCAGAGAAAGTGAAGCCAAGCTCGAGACTTGACCAATAAACAGGAATTAATCTGATGAAATATTTAGTAGGCATTTCTACCTGTAGGTAGTTGATGTGTTCTATCTACCTCTGAGAATGATTCAAATTATGATGAAATGTTATCAGTCTCTGAAAGGGATCTGTAAGTGAAATAAATTTGCAAGTACAAGTACCTGTACTGGAAACAGATAGAAGTAAAAGATTGAAATGCATTCACAGAGAGTTTTCATATTTGAGACATTGGATATTTTGAAGCTTGTTGGATTTGTTTGTCTTAAATTAGTTAATAGTCCTACTTTTTTTCAGAGTGCCTTAGTGTTGGAATGTGAGCCTAATGGATTTCTACAAATGTTCTAGAAATTGACACAATTGCATACTTTACATGAATACTGAAAAAAATCATATAATTTAAAATTTAAATATACCATGTAAGGAGTTTGACTTTTCAGTGACCTCCTACGTTTTAATCTAGAGTATCTACACACAGTCTTATATTAATTTTTGCTAGTTGAAATGTGGAATTGTAGAAAGGTAGTGAGAATTAGAAGTCAATGTTGTTATACCAATTTGTTTAAGAAGATATTATTATAATTGTTAATAAACATTTTACAAATCTATTATATTTTAAGTACACTTATTTAAAATGGGCAAGACTAGTATATTGTACTAATTGGCTTCATTACATATTGTTTATTATGCATTTTCATGTCTTTGAAGAAAACATTTAGAAATAAAAGCATTATAGTTTTACATTTATGAATATTTAATGGAATTTAATGGGCTCTAAATTCTGGAATATTATGAAAAGGGAATTCTTTATAAAATATTTTCCTTGGACATTTCATCAAAAACAGTTTTGCATCTATTTGTCAATGTTTTCTTGTATGTTAACAGTATCAAATGGTGCCTCTTTTGCATAAATATCTAATTTAATAATTTATCATCCCATCTCTCAAAAAAAATAAACTATGAAAGAGGGAGGCATTCATGGTAGATGAAACGTAAAGTAAATTACTGGACCAGAATTAAACAGTTCCCAGATGTTAGCATTTATACTGAGGTCTTTTACTCCAGGCTCAGTTCTTTTTTATTCTGTACCGTTATAAAATGTCTTTTTCATTTAGTTTTTCATGCTTAAAAATAAGGCTCATGATCAGACATTAATTAATGCTAGAACAATCCTATAAAAATCTTATCATAATAAGATTTCTGAGTAAAAATTAGTGCGTTGTAAAATACCTATATGACAAAGGCCTTATTTTCCAATGGTCCCCAAAAAGTAGCTCATTTTTTTATTAGAATTTAATGTGTGTTCAGATCTGTACTGGAGGGTATGCTAGTTAAGAGCACAGACTTTGAATTCAGTTCATATCCAGGCTAGGTGACCTTGAACAAGTTATGTAGTTTTTCTTTGCCTCACTTTTCTTCATTTGTACAATGAGGATGATAATATTAATGTATACTTTGTAGGGTTGCTATAAAGATTGTATATTATATATAACATATGTACACATATTATGTATATATGTATATTTCTTAGTAGATTATTGGACCCATATAAGTATAAATTTCAATGCTTCTTTTATACAAATAAAAATAAACAGTATTAACAAAAAGCAAAATCATGATTCATAAGCATATTTAATCAGATAACAATAAGCTAGTCTCCCTGTAGTTAAAGCAATTTCTCAATATTCATTATACAACATATTTTCATAATGCTGTGTGGAATATCATCTTACTGCTACGAGCAATAACAGTAATTGGAAAAAATACAAAGAACTGTTACAGTGTGGATAGTGTTTTATCCATCTTTGGCTATCTGTGACTAGCAAAGTTCATTTGGAGAAGAGTAATTTTAGAAGGGAAAATAGAGCAGGTCTTTTCCAAAAATCAGTGTCTCTCAGACACGTTTGATACAAAAACAACCACATCACAGAAACGACTGTTGCCACACAACTTGCCTGTCTTAGGTTCACAGGAGAAACCCTTGCACGTGTCTATAGTTAGAAGTACTCAGTGCTGTGATATAAACGATCAGAACTAATCATCCTTCCCTTTACATCTTTTCTGGCTGTCCAGATTCCTCCAGAGGACCTCAACCATCTTCAGGTGTCAATGGTAACGTGCAGCCCCCCGGCACCGCGGGGCAGCCCCCTGCCTCCGCCATCCCTTCTCCAAGCGCCAGCAAGCCCTGGCGCAGCAAGTCTATGAATGTCAAGCACAGCGCCACCTCGACCATGCTGACTGTCAAGCAGGCGAGCCCAGCCACCTCTCCCACGCCACCGGCGGACAGACTGAAGCCGCCCATCTCAGAAGGCGTCAAAACAGCGCCCTCGGGGCAGAAATCCATGCTTGAAAAGTTTAAGCTGGTCAACACCAGGACTGCTCTACGGCCCCCACAGTCTCCCAGTTCAGGACCCAGCGATGGTGGCAAGGACGACGATGCCTTTTCCGAATCCGGGGAAATGGAAGGGTTTAACTGTGGCGTGAATAGTGGTGGGTCGACAAGTAGCAGCCCCAAAGTCTCTCCTAAATTAGCTCCTCCAAAAGCTGGAAGCAAAAATCTCAGCAATAAAAAATCTTTGCTACAGCCAAAGGAAAAAGAGGAAAAGAACAGGGACAAAAATAAAGTTTGCACTGAAAAGCCAGTCAAGGATGAGAAGGATCAGGTGATGGAAATGGCTCCAAAAAAGACTTCTAAAATTGCAAGCTTGATCCCCAAGGGCAGCAAGACGACAGCAGCCAAGAAGGAAAGCTTAATCCCATCTTCCAGTGGGATCCCAAAACCAGGCTCCAAGGTGCCAACAGCAAAACAAACCATCTCACCTGGCAGCACAGCAAGCAGAGAGTCTGAAAAATTCAGGACTCCCAAGGGAAGCCCTTCCCAGTCCCTACCAAAGCCCATAACCACTGAGAAAGCAAGCACATCCAATTGCCCTGCTCCTTTGGAAGGAAGGGAAGCCAGCCAAGCTTCTCCGGCTGGTTCCTGTGCGGGGCTGGTGGCGCAGGGCGGTGGGCAGACCACAGGAAATGGTGCTGTCCAGCTCCCCCAACAGCAGCAGCACAGCCACCCAAATACCGCCACGGTGGCTCCATTCATTTACAGGTAAGGCGGCCTCTCGCCATCCACAGTTGTAAACTTTTACAGGGCTACACACTCAGAGTGTAATAATGAAGGTTACCAGAGCCATGTTTGACATAGTCATTTGGGATCATTGTTTCTTGCTGAAGATAGAGAACTAGAATTTAAATTTTCAAGAACCTCTGCTATGCTGTGGTCCTCCCCTTTCCTCAAGAACTTGAGGCCTTCCAAAGTTAATCTAGGGAGCGTTTTCTCAATCCATTGAGATTTTTGCTTCCCAGTAATTGTCATCAGTTTGGCTCAAATAAACTCTTATAAGTTAAAAAAAAGTTAATCTAGCTGTTATCAAAAGCAAAATAGAATCCAGATGCCATGACTTCCTTTTGTATCTATTGCTGCTGTTACTACTACTATTATTTTTATTATTAGTCTTTTAAAATAGTTCTCAGATTTATAGCGTTTACAGATATTTTGGGTTTTACCCATAAAGGGGCAGGCTCTGGAATCAGACACATGTAGATTTAATGTCCAGCTCTGCCACTTACCAGCTGTATGACTTTGGACAATTCCTTAAATCTGTGTCTCGTTTTCTTTAGCGGTCAAATAGGAACAGTAGTATCTACCTCATATTCTTGGGAACAGTAACAGGGATAATGCATATAAAATGTTTATTACATATCCTGGCACATTTTAAATGTTCAGTATACGTTCTTTATAAGGCATTGTTTTCCCAACATAGAATTTATATTAATTTCCCACAGGTAGACACAAGTTTCTAGGCAAAAATAATAACCTATGTAATTATTATATTTGTACTTTATTTTTAATTTGTTTTTGCATTCTATTTATTTATTATTTTATTTTGTTTTGTTTTATATTTATTCTACATACAGTAAATGTTTTATTTTAACATGTATATTCTACTCTACAGTTAGAAAAATAGCACATTTTACCTGTTGTTCTGAGGCTTGTTTTAATTGATTGGAAACATGTCAGTCATTGCTGTGTCTATGTTTTTATTCACTGTCTATTCGCTGAGGAGATAGCCTAGGGAGGAATAATGTCCGTCCTTTTAGCAGGTTGGCAGTTCAGCAATTGGAAAGAAATTTTCTGAACAGGAAGTAGGATCTGCTATAAATAAGTAAAGATCAAGATTATATAGCTGAAATCTTTATTAAATTTATTAAATGTATGGGTTCTTTTAGAAAGAAAATAATTATAGTGATTCATTTTTCCTCAATGAAATACCCAAGTGCTGTTTTCTGAGGCTTTATAGACTCAACAAAATAATTTTTATAATTACTGTATTTCAGCTCTTGGGACACCTCATTTAAGTTTACTATTCTGACTTCAGTAGTAATAATTCATTTAAGTCTTTCTGTTTGGATCAGATGGAAGTCTGTAGCTCTTTCTAACTCCAGAGTCCCTGTTTGACAAAGCAGAATTTAACATAACTAAATCATAATCTGTATTTCAAAACTAAATGTAATAAAACCATAAAGTTTTGAATTTGTCATACTCATCATACTTATGAATTTTGTGGTGTTGAAACGATGGCCCCAAGAGTCAGCTTGCCTGGGTTGGAATCCCCATGCTACCATTGATGTGACTTTGGGTGACTGATTCAAGGACTCTGAGCCTCAGTTACAATTTTTTAATCTGTAAACTGGGGATGATGATAATAGAAACTTTTTCATAAGGCTGTTTTAAAGATTAGATAAGCTAATATTTGTATGGGGCTTAGAACAGCATCTGACACATAGAAGGCCTTCCTCAAACTTCAGTTTCTAATCCTATGAAGTGTGGTTGATAAGAATATCTAACTCATTTGGTTGTTTTAAAGGCTAAATAAGGCAATCCCATGGATAGTTTTTAGCAGAGAGACAGATTTGGAGTAAATGACTTATAAAGGTCAGTAATTATTTTTATTCTTATTAATATACATAGCTGAAATTAAATAAAACCATCCTATAAGAAAATTTCACATCGTAGTCTATACACATGAGGCAATAGTTGTTTGAAGTGTTTCATCAACTCAGAATAATTTTGTAAATGACAATTTAAATCTTCTTAAGGTAGAGTGCTCAATATTCAGGTTTTTTAACTGTTAGTGAAAGATATTTATATCAGAGTCATGTCTTTTGGATCATGTAACCCTTGATGTTCTTTCGACTCTTGACTGCTCTGACTCCATTTAAGAATCTTTCCTGCAAAATCCCTGACAGGCTTTTTGGAGTTGCTAATCATTTGGTAAAATCATAGTAGTAATTTGCTGTTTTCTAATAATATTATCATTTGTTAAGTGTTTACTTAGTGCAAGTCTTTGTGTTACACAGTTTATGTACATTTTGTCTGTATTTTCTTATTTAAACTTGATCAGAAACCCACAAAAAGAAGTGTTATCACCATTTTACAGAGATGAAAAAGCAGAGATTTCAAGTCAGATTAGTGATAATCTCTTAAAGTCATAGGGCTAGTAAGTGTTTGCCTTTGAACCCAATTCTGCCTGTCTATAGCAGCATGCCTATAGACTTTGCTTATCACTTCTTTCTGCATGTGTGAAAATAAGACGCCTTGTTACTAGGAAAACTCTGGCTGGGAAAATGTCAATGGTAGATTTGTATAATTCTCAATGAGAACTTCTTTACAATGGGAAATGCTTAATCACTTTTAAGTATGTAAATTTAAAATACATATATATTAAAACACATATATTTTAAATTTACAAATATGTATCTATATATCTATATCTATATATAAATACATGCATATATTTAATATTTAAAGATAAATAACTTCTATATAATGGAAAGATTTATGGCTGACATTTTCCCCCTTTCTCAGCCCACTTCTAGGTCATGCTAGGTTATTAATTATTCCTTCATATAAGTGAAATCATATGGTATTTGTCTTTCTCTGTCTGACTTCTTTCACTTAGCATAATACCCTCTAAGTACATCCATGTTGTTTCAGGTAGAAAGAGTTCATTCTTTTCTTTTAGCTGAATAATATTCCATTGTATATATGTACTGCCTCTTTATCCATTCATCTATTGATGGACACTTAGGTTGCTTCCCTATTTTTGTCTATTGTAAATAATGCTTCAAAGAACATATGGATGTGTATATCTTATTTTTAGTATTTTGGGCTCCTTTGGATAAATGCACACAAATGGGATTGCTGGGTCCTTCTTTGTTTCTTGTTATAGCCTTTGTTTTAAAGTCTACTTTGTCTGGTATCAGTATTGCTACTCCAGCTTTTTAGTTTATTACCATTTTCATTAAATATAGTTTCCATCCCTTTACTTTCAGTCTGTGTGTGTGTGTCTTTCGATCTGAAGTGAGTCTCCTATAGGCAGATTTGTAAGGGTCTTCTTTTCTTATCCATTCAGCCATGCTGTGTTTTTTGAGTGGAGCATTTAATCTATTTACATTTTAAGTAATTGTTGATAGTTGTAGTTACTGCCATTTGTTATTCATATTTTTTTACCTTTTTCTCCTCCTCCTCCTCCTCCTCCTCCTCCTCCCTTTCTTCATAAAGAAGTCCCCCTAACCTTTCTTGTAAAACTGGTTTGGTGGTGATGAACTCCTTTAATTTTTCTTGTTTGGGAAATTCTTTATCTGTCCTTCGATTCCAAATGATAGCTTTGCTGGGTAAAGTAATCTTGGTTGTAGGTCATTGCTTTTCATCACTTTGAATATTTTGTGCCAGTCCCTTCTGGCCTGCAGAGTTTCTATTGAAAAATTAGCTGACAATCTTATGGGTACTTCCTTGGAGGTAACTAACTGATTTTCTCTTGCTGCTTTTAAGACTGTCTCTGTGTCTTTAACCTTTGGCATTTTAATTATGGTGTGTCTTGGTGTGGGCCTCTTTGGGTTCATCTTGTTTGGGACTCTGCAATTCCCAAATTGGGCTTGTATGTCTATTTCCTTTACCTGGTTAGGAAAGTTTTATGTCATTATTTCTTCAAATACGTTTTCAATTCCTTACTCTCTCTTCTCCTTCTGATACTACTATGATGTGAATGTTGGTACACTTGATATTTTCCCAGAGGCCCCTTAAACTATCTTCATTTTTTTGGATTCTTTTTTCTGTTCTGATTGGGTGTTTTCTGCTACCTTATCTTCCAAATCTCTGATTCAATCCTCTGCTTCATCTAATCTGTTGATTCCCTCTAATATATTTTTTTATTTCAGTTATTGTATTCTTCATTCTGACTTTTTATTTTCATGTTTTCTATCTCTATTTTTATGTTCTTTATCTCTTTGTTGAAGTTCTCACTGAGATCATTGAGCATCCTTATAACCAGTGTTTTGAACTGTGCATCTGGTAGATTGCTTGCCTCCATTTTGTTGAGTTCTTTTTCTGGAGTTTTGTTCTGCTTTTTCATTTGGGAATGTTTCTTTGTCTCCCCAATTTGGCTGCCTCCCTGTGTTTGTTTCTATGTATAGGTAGGCCTGCTATGTCTCCTGGTCTTAGTAGAAGGGCCTTATATAGTAGATGTGCTGTGAGACCCAGTGGCGCAGTCTACCTCTTCTTTTGAGCCAGGTGCTCCCAGTGTATCCCTTGTGTGGATTGTGTGTTCTCTCCTGTTGTAGTTGAGCCTTGATTGCTGTTGGCACATTCATGGGAAGTATTGACCCTCAGGCTGATTGGTTGTGAGGCCAGGCTGTGATTACAGTGGAGAATTGTTGTGCAGGGGCCTACCCTATGGTGCTTGATTTACATTAGTGAGGCTCTGTTACCTGCCAAGTCTGCCCTTTGTGTTTGTGGAGGTGATTGGGTGGTACTCTGGTATGGTCTGAAGCTGGCCACCAGGTTCTGGGGCCTCTTGGGTGGGACACAGTTGCAGGCCAAGGTCAGTTGCTGCCTGTGACCTATCTGGGGCCACTTGGTGTGAGCTTAAAGTGATCTTCAGATGGTTGCCACTTGTGTTGGGCTTGAAGGTGCTTGAGACAGGCTAAGCTGCAAACCAACCGAGGCTGACTGCCACTAGTGTGAGACTTAGGCCTGCTTAGCAAGAG